GTGCACAACAATACCGGTAGTGGGTCCCATACAGAACCATCCGACCCGAAAGACGAAAAAATGCAAAAATGGTCACGCCTACATTTCAAAGAGTCCAGGACTGAAAGAAATGTCCCAAACAACTCACCGTCACACTCGGCACATCCCACGATATCCGGCACTTAAAATGTGAAATGACGAAAATGCCCTTGCGGCGACAAAATTCCGGAAAAATGAAAAATGCAGAAAATCGGAAACATCACAATATGGGTATCACTTATACCCAAAGTCGTGGAGTTTATAGTCTTCAATTAACTCTCTAAAATTCTTTAATTAGCATCCAGTTCTTTTTTCGTAAACCTCCATATTGCTCATCAGCATAAACCATTGAATTAAAATCTCATGCTATCAACCAACTTGGACCCAACTGAAATTTCAAACTATAAATATAATTCCATTGAGATGCTCTTTCTCCATTCGAACACGAGGCATAAACCCCTGTGAAAATCCATGGGGACTCACCACAAGCTCCAATGACTTTGCATGTGATTTGGAACTCGGCGAAGTCAATTATGTTGATTTCCTACTCATTTGAAAAGAAAAAAGGGTGATTCCACCCGACCTTCCTGTGGATGGAACAACAAACATTTCATTAAGATTTTGTAATACCCCGTATTTTTAAAGAGTTTATTTAAATTAATTCTATATTGGGTTAATAATTTAATGTATAGCTTTATTCACCCATTAATTGTGTATGCTAAATTATTGATTTAATTTAATTTATTTGTACATGTATTATTATTTGTATGTTCTTTGTATTATAATGTTAGTTTATATATTTTATTGGTTATGTTTTATATTAATTAATATTAGTTAATTAGAGTAGTACATTTGTATTATAGTATGTTATTACGCAAGGAAAAAAAAAAAAAAAAAACAATGTCAAGGCTTCAATTAGCTATTAGGTTGAAAGATAGGATTGCATTAAAACTGTTATGTCAGATAGCTTGACTTAGATTTTTTTCATTCAATTAGAGTAGTTAGAAATGTTTTGATAGTTATTATAAAAAAGATTAGGTAGGAAAGTTAGATATTTGTATTATATATATTATATAAGTTAGTATATATATTAGTCTAGCTTACAATTTGAAGACCACTCATGTCAATAGAAGAGAAAAATTAAAATAGTAGAGAGTTATATTAGAAGAGAGAAAGAGAAGAAAGGTGAGAGAAGTAGCCTTAGACCGGTGAAAGGGAATTTAACCCAACTACGCGCAGCCAGCGGATTTGTTTCAAATCCTTAAGGCAAGTTACTATCTACTTTTCCCCTTTGAATCCATAAATCATTCATTGAATTTATTCGGCTATTTTTGAGGTTAGAAACCATGCTAGGACAATGATAAATTAAATTTTAGTTTATTAAATTAATGTGATATTAATTATTTAGGGTGTTAGATAATTTATTTATTGGCCTATGTAGTTAATTAAAGCTTAGGAATAATTATTTAAGGCCTTAGGGATTTTTATAGAATTTTCTGGGATTTTTCGGTAATTTCTGGCGAGGTTTCCAGCCACCAGCAGTGAGGAAGGTGACCGGAGTAATCCCATGTGATGCGGCGCACAAGGGTTACTATGCGCGTGCATCAGCAACCGTTAGATTAGCTTATGATCTATAGATCAATCCGGTGTAGCGCGCCCACAGAGACGCAGTGCAACTGACCAATCAGCACTAGCCGTGTCAGTAGGGAATTAATGCGCGCGCGTGGCTGATTCCAGACGCGCGTGGAGGCGCTTGTAAGCGCGTGCACGTGTGAGAAATAGTGGCAACGCGTGTGGGGACTTAGGGAGACGTGTGAGGGCGCGTATGGGACCTCTACAGTTGCTGGAAAAGTCCAGAATACCCCTAGGGACTGTTTTGTAATTTCCAGAACCTTCAACTTGCATTTTTGGGCCTAGGGTTGGTATTTACGGGTTTAACAGGATATTAAATTATTATTTTATTACCCGTTAATTATTATTATGTCCGATTAATATTTCTAAATATTAATTGTATTAGTTCCAGTATGGATTGCTATTAAGCAGATGTAAATAATGTAATGACCTTGTTAAGTATTAATTGTGTTATTATTTTATTAAACGGTATTAATCATTAATGTTAAATTAAATGATTTCCTGATTTTAATCATATAAATTGTCCATTATACATTATGAGATTATTTAAATTGTTAATGATGTATAAATCATTATTATTATGCTGTGTGTATTTCAGGTGGTAAGTGGACTGCTTAATAAATTAAGTCGCATTTATATTATATGGATGTGTTGCCATATAGAACCATGTGAGCTGACTAACAAGTTTAGACTCATTTATACCTTATGCATTTGTTGCCATAGACAGATGTGTGACTGTCGGGGTATGTGGTTTAATATTATTGGCATGTGTTGCCTAAGTGATATGCTCAGTATATTCATTAGTACCTTGAGATGTGTTACCACTGTGTAGGACTTATAGTCTGTGTTGTCAGTACTGTGCACCATGTATTAATAGCTGATTTCCCAGGTAGGGAAATGAGACACTTAACCACCTCGTGTGAGTCTAAGTGATCACCGTCTATTTTGGTTGAGGTCTTATTATACATTGGGTAGTTTCATTAGGGTGTATACAACTAGAGTATACTTCCGAATAATACTGATTAATTTATTTGATTCTCTAATTTGGGTCATAGTAGAGAGGACTTGCTCGTGGGTTTGATCCACCATTGTTGTTATTTCAGGACCCTATCAGTACCCGTTTCAAGGTTGAGGCTTAGCAGTGTGGGACCACCATCCGAACTCATCTACTCTTACGATCTTGTTCAGGGTAGAAGTTTTATGTATTATTTTGATTTCAGTTTTATTTACTTCCGACGTTGAACTTTCAGGTTTATATTTAGGGATCCTTGACATAGGATTTCTAAGTTGTATAAAGGAGTATTGTATTTAATAAAGGATGGATTGATGTTTTAGTATTTAGTTTTCCTTTCCTGTCTAAGTTCTTCTATTATTATCATTTTGTATTCCATGCTTGTATATTACCAATTGTTTTTGATATCTCTCATTTTTCATGTATAAGCCTAATCAACTTATGCGAGGCAAATGAGGGGTGTTACAGATTTCAAAACTCGTTTCACCTTCATCATCTTATTTTTAGAATCTTTTGTTTCCAATAAACATATTATAGGTGGAGAATGAAGGTTAAGTAGCCTTCTCAACTGGAAAATTGTTTGGGGGTTCTCCACACCTTAACAATTCCACACCAGCACATTCATTGTGGGGGTTTAGGCCACTTAAGGCTGGCTTCCTCCACCTTTTCCAGAGATGATCGAATCGATGTTGATTGTTCGACGAAAAAAATTTCTTGTTGCGTGGAACAGTCTATAATAGAATCATTAACCTCATTGTTCTCCTCGTGCTTCTTAGCTAGTTGAACATTAGATGGATCTTCCACAACTTTTCTCTTACCCACAGGAGAAATTCCTGCTTTTTTTGGTGAACCCACCCCTTAAGCCAATCGTTTCCAATTTTTCATTTTAGCTCCAGGCATTGAACTCTCATTTACAGAGATTAGAGAAGATGATTCTGTGACCGGAGCGACATTGTTGGGTTTTGAAACTTCCAACGCTTCAATATTGATACGAGTCTCCTTCTATATACACTGCATAAGTTAGGTGTGACTTGCTCTTCATCTGTTCAACATAAAAATAAAAATAAAAAAGGAAAAAAAATCCCAATATCAGTGTAAACTCGTTTTCGGAGTTTGGAGCATATTTGTTTTTTTTTTATTATTATTTTTAAGTTTGTACTTTATTTTCATTTTTTAATTTCTATCTTTATCTTTACTTGTACATTACCGGTGTCCTAAAATAGTATCATTTTCGGTCATTTTACAAAATTATTTATTTTTATATATTTTATAAAATGGTTTAGTAAGGGTAATTTAGTCAGCTTAGGGTTTAAATTTGTTAGAGGAACATATTTGCACCAAATTAAAACTTTAGAGGTGTTTTTTTGCACGTGATAGTCGTCCTCCAATAGTATTTTTTTTGATCATTTTACAAAATTATTTATTTTTATATATTTTATAAGATGATTAGTAATTTAGTCAATTTAGAGTTTAAATTTGTTAGAGTGCCTATTTGCACCAAATTAAAATTTTGGGGTGTTTTTTTGCACGTTAGGGGTGTGATATGCACCTTAAAGGCAAAAAACAATTCAGAAAATTGATGGGGGCAAAAATCATCTACTAGTAATTATGTAAAATTAAAGAAATACCTTCGATTTGCTCACCACCAAGCTAGGGTTTCAGAGAATAGAGCAAAACGATAGGAAAGCCGAGCTCGAGATGAAATTGGTCTTTGTTTTTGAAAGATTTGCAGACAAAAAAGATTGATCTGTGGTCTACCAACCCCGATCTGCGAGAATTGATAGAAATGAGAGGCACAAATGAAATCGCCTCAACCGACCTGCGAAAAGACAGAGAAATGATAGGCGAAAATGGAAGGAGGTAGCTGTTGGAAGAGCTCTGCCAGAGCGGTGGTGGAAGAGGTTGTGTATGGAGTTACCTACACTTGGATCGCCACTAAAATCGCCCCCAAGGAGCTGCGCGAAGAGAGAGAAAGTGAGGCTGAAAAATGGCTCGTTTCTGATATGTGGTATTATATACTTGATATCACCGCTATAGTAAAAAACGAGGGTTGATATGTTTTTGTTTTGGGCTGATACCATCACTACAGTGCCACATCACCCAATATCACCAAATTGGGGATATGGATTTTGGTCCAAATTTCATATCTGTTATGACACTATTTAATATCACATCAGTCCACTCCAAACATGATATTGTCCAAAAATCAAAACTAAAACACCAAAATCAATATCATAACAATATCATACCTCCTTCCAAACAGACCTAAACATACTTTAGGGTGTTTTAACCCTTATTAATGCGGGTCGGACCAAACCGTCGCATAGGGTTTAAAATAAATACAACTGGAACTGGAGGAACAAAAAGGGAGAGGGAGAACTAGGAAGAAGCAGAAGTGAATGCTAATTGAGTGGTGGGATAACCTAAGCTAAGATTTGAATGGCAAATCCGGAGCATCCGCGTCTCATAATTCATAATTTTCTCTCTATAGATCTCTGTAAGGTAAAGTAAGTAAGGTTATCATTTGTTGATTTGAATTCTATACGGATATATATATATATATATATATATATATATATATATATTATGTATGGTTGTTTTGATGATTGTTGTTGTTTTGGGTGGATGGATGAATGATGAATGGATTGATGATAATAGGAACTGGAGTTTATACACAAGAGCTGCGGCACCGTGGGTTACAGACCAAACGTCTTCTCTACAACGCTCTCTCATCTCATCGCAACTAACTCTGCCCACTTCATTATACCGTTCGTACCCATTAGAGGTATTCATTTCTCAATTCCTCTATTATCATCTCCTGTTTGCTTCCTCAGAAAACAAAAGGGAAAAAAAAATTGAATTTTGAATATTATTATATTCTGTCTATGCCAATTACAGAGAGACTCAAAGACAAAATGGAGGAGTTCTTTGGCTGTGAATTCGAGCTCTTTGTTGAATTCACCGGCTTGATCAGGTTAGAATGGTTTCTTCTTCCATTTACGCTAGCATTGCAATGTTGCGGTGCAATTATTTCTCTATTTCACACCTTGAGAGTATTCACTTGATTTCTCACTTTGTTGTCATTGTCGTTGGATCTTCACTACATTTCTAATAATAATAATAGCAACTATTTTTAATCTTCTCATAGATTGAGATTATCCACTTGAGTTGTCACTCTGTTAGCAGTTATATAACTGATGTTGCATTATATTATATTATAACTCAGCTGGACTAGAGGAGCAAGCATTGGATGGCATAGTGATGATAACAGACCTTATCTCAAACAACGCGACTTTGCGGTGTGTATTCAATATACTACTTCATGTCACTAACATCCTTTTTTTTTTTTTGTTTGGTTGCAATTCTTAGTTTTTGTCCATCTATTTTAATCTTTCCTTACTACTATGTCAATTGGAACACTTGATGCATTTGCAAATAATGCATGTAGAGAGCTCATCAGCATCACACTCTTCATTGATGAGATAGATCTGAAATGTGATCTTTCATGACCAAGATAAGAGAAGTACATATCTACTGAAAAATAAGGCGGTAGTAAATTGGCCAACTTATGTCATGAATGAAGTGGAGCTGTTTCATTTTTATCTTATCTGACAGAACATGGTAACTTGAGTTGTTCCTTATTTTTCAAAACTAGAATCACACATAATAAGATGTGGTTCAACAAGAAGTGAAAATGATTAGATTTATTATAATAAACACGTTCTCGATGGTAACTCGAATAGCTCTCTAGGTTTGCTGAATGTACTGAACAACATCAGTTTTTTTATTGTATAAATCATTAAAACAAGAACAAGTGATGCAGATGAAGATTTGAAAATAGAATCTTAACCATTTGAAAAGAAACATTTGCATTGGTACAACTTCATGGCATCATGGTAAGGCCATAGTGTCCTATGTCCATCTTGCAGGAGAGAAACATGTGGATGGAGAGCTATATTAGATCCATATCATATATGGAGAGGTGATAGTGTGTTAAAAACTGCTTGACTGGTGGAGTTTGGTGGTGCTTAAAGCTGTTTGGTTAGTAGTGTTTGATGAAAGGGTAGTCTGTACGATTGTAATTTCTTACTGTTAGCCGGTATAACACAAATAAAGTGGATTAGCACGTAAGATCGAATTGATAGAATTACGACAGGTTACATACTATGGATGCGTTAGGTTGCTTACACGAGTAAGTTGAACATGTACTAATCAAGGCAGAGGATGGGGTTGCGGCACATCATCTTATAAGACCTTATTCATATGTACATCAGGAAAAGCCTCTGGATTTTTTTATTGGTTTTAAAAACATTGGTGCATCATGTGATAAGTTATGTAGAGCTTTGTATATGTTAATCACTTCAGCTTTTAGGATATAAGGCTATTTAACATGAGATCAGAGGTTTAATTGTGAAGGGTCCTGAGTACAGCTCTCACTGTTTGCATTTTTTCCCTAATTCTGTAAGTTTGCCTGGATTCCTATCTGGGTCATTCCTTAATAGTTTAAGCTTTTAAGGAATCTGATTGTCTGACATAGTATTGGAACTTTGATTCTTCAGTTCACATATATTCACTTGCATTTGTCTGCCCTTCCTGTCCGCCTGTTAATGATGGTCAAAAAGTATGAAATATTTTTATTGCACTGCAGTTGGTGTGGGCTACTACATTGTAATTATTGTCCAAAATGGTTTCAATAATGATCTAGTTGCTAAATGCAGTAAAACTTTTATGTAAGCTAAGTTATTTCTGACAGATTTCTTGTTTCTCTGAGTTAAAGGCAGTTTGTTATTTGAATAGTTATGGTGAGGATTTCAAAGGAGGGCTTTTTCACTTCCAGGATTGGGAACCTACAACTATTGTGCCCATGGCTGGTGTAAGTGGAACCATATAATACCTTTCCAGTACATGAGTCCTTTAATTTTTTTGATTTGAATGTTTTCTTAAATTTATATACATGCATTAGAAATGGAACATTCTTAGATCTTGATTCTATTATTTAAAACATTCTTAGATCTGAATGCATCAGTTATAGATTTTGATACAACTTTATAAGAACTTCAGGCGTCTTTTCTATTTGCAGAAAAATGAAGAATAAATTATATTACTGCTTTGAATGGGTTGGTAATGCCTAACAACTAAAGTTTCAAAGGGAAGATGAGACGTGGCTTATTTCTTTGATTATACTGTTTCAGGGATTACTATATTAATTCTCATCTCTTATTGTATCTTGTAGGATGCTCTGATGTACACAGCTGACAGCAGAAATATTCACTCTGTTGATGAGGTAGCTCACACATATTTTTTTTTCTTTAATTTTTTTAAATTTTTATGTTGTTTTTATTTGAGGGATGTGGAAATTGGGTATCGTTCTATCAATCATTCATTTTACTTCTGCAGTTTTTACTGATCATGCAATCCATTTCTTCATTAAGTCAATGGAATTGCTTGCATAAAACACTGACACTATTGCATGTAATGTACAACACACAAGCTATTAATAGTTAAATGACATGATTGATTGTATAAATTGAGATTTTTGGGGTTCCGTGTACTGCGAATTAAGAGAGTTGCAGCTTGGACAAAACTTTTAGCTTGCGGGATAGTGGAATTGCAGTTTGGTGTGTGAAATGAATCAAATATATATATATATATATATATTTTTTAAATAGGTAAGTGTGCCCACACACACATGCCCCCACTAGGACTTGAAGCCTTGAACCCACAACCTCCTCTTTAGGGGCATACCACCCAAGCCAAGAATTTGGTGGTAAATCAAATAAATAATTCAAGATAACTACAAATTATAGAAGTTGAACTAGTTCTCAAAAGATCTTAGCTACGTCATATTATTTCGGAACGTAAACTAAGAATTTCCCTTGGATACCATAACTTGTACATGTTCTATAAGAGCAAAAATCCCATCCCCCAGTCTTGCGAAATTTCATTTTATTTCGATAATCTATAGCTGTCTTGAAATCATCATAGAATTGGCTTCATTACTGCAAATCTACTTTGGTTATTGGCGACATGCTTCCTTTGCACTCTTCCGCCCTAGAGTCCAGACCAGTGGTTTTGGCCCAAATTCATGACCTAGAAACCACTAAAAATGTGTTATAACATGAAATGTTGTTACAGAAAGTGCGTGATGAAGAAATTTCTCACAAACAAAGTTCTTGTTTCTGCAAATAGATTCCCATTTGGACAAAGAAAGGAAAAAGTAAGGGTTTCATAACTTTATAAATCATGCTGTCTTTAACTATCAAGTGAACATTATACCAAAAGTTTTAAACCGTGCTTGTTGAGGAGAGTCCAAGAAACTTTTCATTTAGTAAGACATGTTAACTTTGATGCTACCTAGCAGAAAGTGCATTATTGCATTGTAGTTGTGAACTTTTGTTGATTCCATTTCTAATTCGTACACAAATGGTAGTCTTGTTTGTGTACTATTTTTTGCAAGTGGAATGTTTTACTACTTCTTAATTCTTCATATTTGTTTTCAATTCTTCGTATTTGTTTTCGGCAGATCACTGGTGGAGAAAGACTCACACTAACTTTATGGTTCAGCCGTGATGGATCCCATGATGAGGATGCTAAACTTATTTCCTTTCTCTCCCAAAGCCAATTACATAATTCAGAAAACAGTCCTCATCCACACCTACCATTGTCAGCGCCAAGTAATATGTACTGGTTTCCTACCAACCAAGAATCAAGTTACCAGTCAGGATTTGACATACGCTTTGCAAGATTACATAGCCTTGGATATGATATTTATTCTTCTGAAGATAAGAGTTGTTTCTCAGCATTAGATTCATCTCATGACTCCTCAGAAATATTGATGGAACCATTGCAATTAACAAGGGAAGATGAATTGTTTGATGAGGAATTTATCAATATATTGCACGTCCTTCAGGTATTCTTTGCACTGCACCTTCACCTTTGTGTTGATTTTTATAAGCTAAATAAAAAATGAGCTTACTTCATCTCAACTTGAAAAGAATGACGGCAAAGGGGTCCATGAATTATACTGTCTAACCTTATTCTCAGCAATTTGAACCTAATATTATCCTTAGCTTCGTAGAGAGGGCCATGAATGATGTTGTCATAGTTTCCTCTCTTCCTCTCTCTTATACGTGCTCTTTTTTTTTTTTTCCTTCCAGTTCATTGTAGCAGATCTAATGCATAATATTCGAAGGCTCATTGCTCAATGTGTAGAATGGGCAACAATAGAACTTGAGAATTGTTAGCGGCATTTCCAGCGGATTTCCTGTTATATGTGGTCTGGATCTGTATTAAGCATAATTGCCCGGGGTTCCATGACCACTACCATCCAACCTTATGAATTTTAAACTAATTATATATATACTCAAGGTTTCAGAGATAGCTGTACAATGATGTTCACATTGTTGCCTCTCCCTCTTCTCATGTTCACCTTTTGTCCCTCCAGTTCATTGTAGTGAATGTGATGGATACTTTTCCTAATATTTCCCGTTGCTTTCATTCACTTCACCAGGCAATGATCTGAACTTGAGAAATGTTAGTAGCTAATCTAGAGGATCGCCATGGATGGCTGGACTAACCATGGGTGCCATATATGTGGTATGGACCTATATAGCCTTCCCTAGAAATTTAACAAGTTCCATATGAAAGAAATTTGATTTCATTGACAACGTGATTCTGCAAATCAAAATATTCGGAAAGATATTCTGTGTTTTTGTAGGCCTGTTTAGTAGTTACCTGGGCAACACTCCATTAGGCGGAGATTAAGAATAATGGAGGGCTTTTGATTGCCTATTCATTTATCTGTTTATTGTCCAGTGTCATTCTTAATTTTAGGATTTCATGATGACCCCGATGTTAAAATGATCACAGTTACCCTCAATCTAGTAATATGTCAGTGAAGCATATAAGATTTTCAAACTCAAAATGTCTTTATTGATAAACTGTGAATCCTAACCTAAGAGTTTTCTTATAGTTTTGTCCTGCACTAGAATTTCATCATTTCATTGCTCATGCTAGTTTTTTTGCACTAAAACAGGTGGTGCAATTTTACTGTTGGAAGGCCTCTGACTTGCAGAAATCCGAGAAGGGAAGGAAAAGAAGAAATGTGGTGCAACTATCTGAATCACAGCGGGAGAAAATTAACAGTCTGAGACTTACGTTTTTGAAGGATAAACAACTGGCAGAGACGATTTTCAGCCCCATGACGGATGACATGCATCGCCAACATTCCTTTGATTGGGCCAGTTTCTCTGCTGCAGTTACTGCATGGGAAGCTTATACTACTAAGTTACACAAAGAATTGGTCGCAAGCTTATCATACTGGAGATCACATCAATCTATATTCTGTGTTCCGTCGGAGGGGTCTTGAGCAAGGAACTTAAAGGTACACATGCACTCCATTTTGGTCTTCAACATTGACTTATTAGTGCATTGAGAAAGTGAGTAATAGGGACATCTTGCAATCTCTCTCAAATTCAATTGTGCAGCCATGGGTTCTCATGGTTAGCAACTAACACACACTCTCTTCTCCTTTCTTGATTATAATCTTTTGATGTATTATATTTTAATTTATGTAACACTAATTTTTTTGGTTTTTCTTATTTTAGCTGTTTTTATAGACTTTTATCTTGTGTTTTCACTTTTCACTCAGATGGTCCTCTCACTTGGGAAAAAAGAAAAAGAAAAATGATAGGGTCACCGAATGATTTCTCAGAGTAAGTCCCGAATCTGACGTGTTTTTGTCTATCTCATCTACTTACACAACTTACACAACTTCCAAAAAATAATTGTTTAACGCGTGATAAGTATAGCTAACCACGTCAAATTCAATGTTAATTTGGGGGTTCCTTTTCGGTTCCCTATCGTTACTCAAAAAAAAAATCAAATTACTATGTAAAGGTCCAAAGAACCTTTACTTTCTCTTTATTTTTTAAATTAGTTTTTTTTTTTTTTTTTTTGACTCACATTCAAAACGGTGATTTCTTTGTCTCATTTCTTTTTGGTGATATATAGCTCGTCTGTGTCATTTAGAAAAATTAACTTGCTTTTTTGATTATTTTATGAGGAAAAACACTCCAGACTTGTATTCCAGGTAGAATAAACAGGTTAATCTTGATATATATATATATATATATATATATTCGGGTCTCAAGGGACATAAAAAGTAATACTCTGTATTTGTCTTTTACTCACTTATATAGGTAGATACAAGACCATATATAATATGATGATCCATGTTCCACATGCATACATACTCTCGCTGAGAAATTATTACATATTCCAGCATCAATTACCGCCGTAAATAAAAAACAGAACCACAGTCTTGATCAATTCCCATATAAAAAACAAAAACTGAATAAATTTTAAGCATGGATCGGGAATGGTCCCGGGACCATTAAAAATTTATTGTTCTTGTTCTTCTTTAGCTAGCTTCCCTAGGCCCCACCAATAAATATGTCATTTCCTTCATAAACAGAGCATCTGGAATCTACATGGAATTATGCTTTGTTTTTGCTGGACAATAATCCAAAATCAATATATATATATATATCAGCTTTTGTTGGACCACTAACACAAACTTGTTTCAGAACTCTGTTAAACTGATACAACAGCTTCGGCTTATGTAGTGCATATATATGATCTAGGGCAGGCAATTTGATGGAGATATGCATAAGAATAAGTACCATATATATATATATATATAATGACACTGATATAAACAAATTGATGCACAAGTATCCTACTAGACAAAGGTATCAATTCCTCCCCCAACCTTAATTTGATTCAATAGCACCAAGTTAATTAGGTGTTGAATAATTAATTAATCAGAGTCCACACACTTTCAACCCACTACATCTATTTTTCAACGCGTTAAATCCAAACCCAGCTGCCCCCTTCGTTCTTTCCCTTTGTTCTGCTCCCCCCCTCCTCCCATGGAGGTGGTGAGGTACCGATCCCCGCCTCCCACCATCTAATAAACTCGGCATGTTGTAGATAGTCGCTCGGTGGGTGGATTTTTTACGATGTTTTTCGTTGTTGTTTTGTTAAATATGTTCCTGTTAGGCTTGTTTCTGGCTTGACAAGGTAGATCTTTTTTATTTTCTGAGTTTTGTGGTCCCCGCCTCTGTGTGGTCTTTGTGATTCATGCCTCTTTGTGGGTTTTGTTATCCCTGCCTCTTGTGCGTGGTTTGGGGGGTTTCTTCTCCGTCGTTGGCGGCGCTTTGTAGATGCATCCTTGCAACAATTGTCTTAACGTTTGTAGATGCATCCTTGCAACAATTGTCTTAACGATGGCCTAACCTGTGGGTCTCTCCCGTTACTGCTTTCCTTCCTTGGTGGTTTTTGCTGGTGTTTGTTTCTCAACAAATCTGGAACCCGTTCTTTAAGTTTAATCTCTTGCTTCATGATTTGTTTGTTGTTGTACTCTTTTCCTTGTTGCCAGGGTTAAAAAAAATAATAAATTAATTAATCAATTTCTTCATATTTTTTAACAATATAATTAAAGCCAAAACACATGCCATGCTAGTATTTAATCCATCGCAGCAGTACAAGGGCTTTTACATGTTAAAAGATCATCTAATCTTTTTTAATAACATATTAATAATTAATTAGGTAAATAATATTCCTCCTTAAGATATCCCATAAAGGAGGAGGTAAGAATATATATCACACTTAAATTACAGTACATAATAATATTCCCCAAGCCTAGCTAGCTAGCTAGCTATTTGGATGCCATCAACCCACAGTATCACAATCCAAGTGTCGTCGTATCATTGGTCTTAGATAGCAGAGTATAGAGGCTTGGATGCGCTCCATTTGTGTAAAAGATTGCCAGTAATGTCGTAGAACTTGAATTCAGCATCGGTGGAAGTAATGTGGAGATTCATAAACCCTTGTCCATCATAATAGAAGTGCATGTCCTTAGGGTTCACCCAGTGAAACTCTCTTTTCCACGCCTTGGACCCACCACCACTAGTGAAAAATTGAAGCGGACTGCACACACCACAATTAAACATGTATATATATATATATAAATGTATCTAACTATTTATATATAATTTTACCTGTCATGACTACTGATGTGTTCCAAGCAATGGTCGTGTCCGTTTATGTAGAAATCAACGCTGTTTGCCTGAAATATTATTATTATGAACAGATAGTGGTATTAATTAGTAAAAAATCAGTTGTAGATATTTATATTATATTATTAATTTTATTGTTCATGCAGCAAAAGTATAATTTTTTATTTGTACTTCAAGTATTGGTAGAAGTCTTGCTACGAGCTCCACTGTGTTGCCATGGGATCCACCGCTTCTAATTGTATGGTGCCCAACCACTATCTTCCATTTCGCACTCGACTCCTTCAATGCTGAATCCAAATCCTGTCACAATTCAAAGTTCAAAACAGTTTATTATATATATATGTGTGTGTATTTATAATGTTACTTCTAGTTATTGTTATATATATATATATATAGATATAGATATATATATACCTTCAAGAGATTTGAAAGGTAATTCTCCCGGGGAAGCACGCCTCTCCAGTCATAGGTATGCTCTTCGGGCGTATCAAAGTATTTGTCAGAGAACGGAGTTGTATCTACGAAAAAGAATTGTACAATTTCTGCCAAACACAAAATACAATTATATTATAAATGTAATTTTATTTATTTATTCATGTTTAGTGAGGAGTTTAAAAGAGGGGTTAAATATTAACCTGCATCCACAATAAAAGATCTGTGGCATAGCCATCTGCTATCCCTTTTGTTAAGGACGGGATTCAATTGTGCCAACACATCACCTCTGTAGTCATGGTTGCCCAAAACTGAAAAACAAGAACATTTATAAAAATTGAATAATTAAACATCAAATTTGTTTTTGTTGTCAAAATCGAAACACAACTGTATGTCAAACAGGGTCTACTTAATGTTGTTGATTTTAAGGATTAGAATATTACCAGCGTACCATTGCTTCTGTAAGCTAGGGGCTGTATATATATTGGTAAATGACTCGTCGAATTGAATATCATCTATCCCAATTAATCCATCGTCGTAAAAATTATCACCCGTGGAAATGATGAAATCTGTTTCTAATTTCTCTCCGGTTATCCCCATCTGCAAATTCAATAATAAATGTTGAAATAAACAAAGGTTAATTAATAAGATTTTCAAATTCATAAAAATTATTTGGCATCGATCAAATAAATTGTCCCTAATCAATAATAAAACAATCGAAGAAGCATGAATATAAAATATTTCTATATATATATATAAACCTTCCCAGTTAAACCTCACACCCATTAAGAGTTGAGACTTAACTCAGATAATCCATCACTTAATTATTTTTTATGTATATGATCGAGATAAGTTTGGTAAGAGTTAACTCAAGACAAAAGAGACACTAATCAACAATATAAAGTTATGTAAAAAATAAGAGTGCATGATTCGCCTTTTTCTTTTTCCATGTGTTCGGAGTCATGGATCACGTGGCATGATAATTATAGACAATTAAAGAAATTAAATTGAATGAGACAAGCAAAGGGAATACAAATATTACTAGTATAAGGTGGACATATATGTATATAAAATTGGTTTAATTAATTAATTAATTTTTAAACTAACCAACCACTTTGGGATGTAATGAGAAAAAGTGGTTAACTGGGAATGGCATTATGTTCCACATGGCCCACAAATTGCAATAGACCACGTAAACTCGTCCTTGTGACACACACAAAAAGAGCATATGGAATCTACTAGGAATTATACCGCATATTATAACATTGACAAAAAAGTAACAACAATAATACAACCAATAAAACCATACCACGTGCACTCATTAATTGGTAACAAAGTTAAGTAACTCCACTAGATTAAACTTATTCATCGCTTGAAGTTACAATATATATATATATATATATATAGTCGTCCAGATCATCAGAATCATCGAGACTAGCTTTTTAAGATAAACTGTATGTGATTAAAAAGTATGTGAAAATATATATGCGAAATGCATATTTAGAAATGGAAAGTGTGTGATTAAAAATAAAAAAATAAAAATAAAAAGGATAGACCTGAAGAGCAACTTCTGACTGGTTGTGAGTTCCTTTTCTTCCCCAGTCTCCGACGACCAAAACGCTGAGCGAGCCATCGGGTTTTGGCGGGTGTTGGAAGAGCGGAAGCTCAGCTGCGACGGCGATAGCCAAGCAGAGGAGAGTAGCAGTGATGAGTTCAAGAGAGAGAAACATGTTGACGAGAGAGAGTGGGGGTACAGATCTAGAGAGAAACTAATGGATGGAATTAATTTACAGTGGGTGTGTGAAGTCCTTCTTATATAAGCTTTTAGGGGTACAATAATTCAGCATGTGGGACCCACACACCACCATTCAATGGAATTGGCCTATCAGCTTAATGGACGTGTGTGTTTACGCCATTATATGCAAATGGACAATATGATGCACCAAACTTGGAGATCCCCCACATCCAATTTCGGGTCCCACATGAGATTTTAATAGTTAAATTAGAGAATTATGTTTTCATCCAAAGTTACTTACTGGACAAAACTATAAAGTGCATGAATGAGGAAAAATCATCATTAAGAGAAAGTAGCTAGATGTAGATTCATAATAATGAAATTAATTATATAAAGAACTCTCATAGGGTACTGTACAATAATAAAAGTGCGGTCCAAATATATAAACCACGTAAGTCACTTCGGATATTATTATTATTTATGATACAATAATCTTGAATTTTATTATTTGGCTCTAAAGATATAAAGTGATATATATATATATAAAGGTGGTGGGGGTCGCCAGGCTGACTCAAAAGGCAATTGTTTGGTTTTAAAGATATAAAGGTGAGGAAAAGAAAGTAGTTAGGTGTGAAAAAATAAAACAAAAAAAAATAATAGCTAGGTTAATTATAAAATAATTCTTTAATTTTACATTCCTTCCTTTTTTCTTTTTTTCTTTTTTTTTTTGATAACGTACATTAGTTGTTAGATAGGGGATGTGGGGTTTTCAAGTGAAGCTCAAATTCTCTAGCTACAAAGCTCTACCATTCTTTCAACTACTACTTCTTTCCAATCACATATTTTCATGCATATGGATATACATACATATATATATGTGTGTGTGTGTGTGAATCTATATTTTGTTAAAATTGTTAATTATAAAATAATTCTTTAATTTTACGTCCCTCTCTTTTTGTTTTTTCCTTTTTTTGATAACGCACATTTGCTGTTAGACAGGGGATATGGGGCTTTCAAGTTCAGTTCAAATTCTCTAGCTACAAAGCTCTGCCATTCTTTCAACTACTTCTTTCCAATCACATATTTCATACATATGGATATACATATATATGTATATATATATATGAATCTATATTTTGTTAAATTTGTTGCATTTATTCTCAAAGAAATACATGTATTATTTATATGTTGTTTATTGATGCCAACGGCAAAGGTGTGGCAAGTGGTGGTGGAGGCAGGTATATAAGTGATGGGACCAGACAAGCCTGGTTTCTGCAGTTATATTAGTTTTAGTTGGGTGGTTCAGAGTTCAGACACCCACATGGCATGGATGATATATATACGCACACTGAATTAATCAAAGACAAGAAAGAAGACAACAACCTCTTAGAGCTCTTCCCCCAACTACATCACATGTGTAACTCACAAAACTCAGTGGTGGCGGTTACCTTTTATCTCTATACATGGCTGACAAAAACAAAAACACCCATACCCACAACTAACATCGAATCCTTTACCGAACTGGAACTGTCAAATTCTTCTTTGAGGATGAGAGATTACCTTTGTGTATTGCACTCTTGTTATGTGTTTATGTATATACATGTATAGTGGTAATAATCCCACGTGACTATTATTTAACCTTGCTCTGGTGATAAAATATTTAAAAAATTATTACAAGGATAATAGTTTGTTAATGTGTGGTTCTTGGAAAAGTGAGGAGATCGTTGCACGTATGTCAAGAAAGTTGAGATCAGTGTTTGAATAGAGATTCGAGCTACACGAGGGATTCTCCCTGGAGAGGGAGATTAAGAGAGGGAAGGCAGTTTTTAAGTACTTGGGTAGCTAGCTCGAGCTCTTGTGAGTTGTCCGTCTTCTTAATGGTCAATTATTGCTCCTATTTAGACTATCCATTGGATTGGGTAAAGACCCTGCGGGTTCCTTCGATGACCACTCCAAGTGAATGGGACATTAGCAGGTGGCCCAAGAAAAACCTCGGACCTTTGCAGGAGTTGGTGATGTGGTAGTGTGCATTTAATGCGGGTCTTGTCAACGAGTTGGTGCAGCTAATGTACCATCTAACCCTTCTATGGATGGAACTTGACCTCGGGTACTAAGCATTCCTTTCCCCCTCAGTATAAATCGCGTGGCGAGGTAGTCCCTTGACTTTCCGTTGGGAATGAGCCTCGTCATGCACGATGAGATGACTCCTCGGATCTTAGCCTCCCTTCCATTGTTCCTCAGATTCCCGTAATCCAGAAAGGAGCAAAGGGAATTGCTTAGGATTTATTTGCCTTCCCTAGTCCTGAGCTTCCCCTCTTCCGCAGTCGTCGAGCTATCTCCTTTCAAGAAATGGCTCAAGGATGCGTTAGTTACAACAAATGTGATTTAGCCGTGGTTATCCATAAGGAGGAAGGCTCGATCCTAGGTGCATAGGAGGACCCGTCCAACTAGAGCGGGGCACCCACGTGACTAATGAAAGAGGGAACGAGGAAGGGAAGTGACCCCTTCTTGATTTAAAACTAGTTCTCGCAGCTTAGTAATATCACGTGGGTCTGCCGCGTATGATGTTGACATGTCTAAACCGCCCGTAGCCACGTGTGCTTATTGATGGCAGGAACTTAGAGTAGCCTTGATGAGTTGTAGCCTTCCAGCACAGGAGACAAGCCGAGGAAAATAAATTAGGAACTTCTCTTTCCTCTGGGTGTAAAGTAAATTGATGACAGTTATCGATGATTTTCGTTACGCCTACATCTTTAAATTAATCAGATTTATAGTTTACTATTAGCAATTAAGAATATAATTTCAGTAAAATAGAGTAAAAAATAAAAAATTGGGACCTCCAACTTTATAACAAATGACAAAAATTTAATTCTATTTTTTTCTATTAAAATAAATATATATTTCAGAACTTGGTACAGTTATATGACTATATGAGTGATAAAAACTAGAAAGGAAAGAAGTTGTGGGACGAAGTATATGTTTGGTTGAACAAAAAGAAGGAAAATAAATTTAAAAACACTCATCAATTAATGGAAATTAATTTAGATAGTATTAACCTGCATCCACAATAAAAGATCTGTGGCATACCCATCTGCTATCCCTTTTGTTAAGGACGGGATTCAATTGTGCCAACACATCACCTCTGTAGTCATGGTTGCCCAAAACTGAAAAACCAGAATATTTATAAACCATTGAATAATTAAGCACCAAATTTATTTTTGTTGTCAAAATAGAAACAGAACGTATGTCAAATAGGATCTACTTAATGTTGATTTTACAGATTAGATTATTACCAGTGTACCATTGCTTCTGTAAGCTAGGGGCTGTATATATATTGATAAATGACTCGTCGAATTGAATATCATCTATCCCAATTCATCCATCGTTGTAAAAATTATCACCCCTGGAAATTATGAAATCTGTTTCTAATTTCTCTCCGGTTATCCCCATCTGCAAATTAAATAATAAATGTTGAAATAAACAAAGGTTAATTAATAAGCTTTTCAAATTCATAAAAATTATTTGGCATCTATCAAATAAATTGTCCCTAATCAATAATAAAACAATCGAAGCATGAATATAAAATATTTCTATATATATATAAACCTTCCCAGTTAAACCTCACACCCATTAAGAGTTGAAACTTAACTCAGATATTCCATCACTTAAATTATATATATGATCGAGATAAGTTTGGTAAGAGTTAAGAAATCAAGACAAAAGAGACACTAATCAATAATATAAAGTTAAGTAAAAAATAAGAGTGCATGATTCGCCTTTTTCTTTTTCCATGTGTTTGGAATCATGGATGACGTGGCATGATAATTATAGGCAATTAAAGAAATTAAATTGAATGAGATAAGCAAAGGGAATAAAAATATTACTAGTATAAGGTGGACATATATGTATATAAAATTGGTTTAATTTAGACATATTTTAATTAATTAATTTATTTTTAAACTAACCAACCACTTTGGGATGTAATGAGAAAAAGTGGTTAACTGGGGGAATGGTTCTACGTTCCATATGGCCCACAAATTGCAATAGACCACGTAAACTCGTCCCTTTTTTTTTTTTTTCCCGAAAGGTTAAGCTATATTATAAAATAAAAGATCTGTACAAACATAAAAAAAAGCCTTAGGCCAAACCCAGCCCACAAATAAGAAAACAAGGCAAAATAACTACCCAGCAAGGCAAACAATAGCCAATCCCAATCCAAACAAAATTCCAAGGCCCATGCCCAAACCATAATTCAACAAAAAAGACAATAACGTACCAAATTCTGCAAACCATCCGTACCGTAGCTAATAACAGTCAATTCTGCAAACAATCCGGCAGCGTAGCCAGTAACCAAGGGAAGAACTAGTAATGGGTTAATTTGGACTATAACCCAAGTCCAATTAAAAAAAAAAAAATTAGTATTATTATTCCTATAAGCCATTCTACTCTTCCTCTTTCTATCAGCTTAGCCCAATTCATAGTATTACTATTAAAAAAAAAAAAAAAGAATTATAAAATCTACAAAAATCGAACCTTAAATATGAGCAAGTCCACGAACCACAGATATACCCAATCACAAAATAAATTATAATAAAATATAATAGGGCCTAGCCTAGTAAATCAAACATATTTTTAGTCTATGAAAAAAAATTTAAACTCTTCATGTATAAGGCACTAAAGCATAGGTGGATAGATACTATGAATTATTATTGTTAATCCAGTGAAATATTGAATTTTATTTTTATAAAAAAAAAAATAAAGAAAAAAATAAAGAAAGCTTTGTTAATGACTTGATAATTTCTTATTAAACTGGATAATTTACTATATAATGGATTAATAACTAGTCAGGGGCGGAACACATATGTCTTACTTGCTACTGTGAATTTATTGATAAGGAACATATATATTTTGCATTCTTATAGTTATTTATTTTAATACTCATACGAAACAATCTTCAATGAATTTTTGAATGCGAAAATACGTTAGAGTTTAGAAGTGTAAATGTGTTAGAAGGTTATAAATTATTGAGTTTAATTGAATAATTGATGCATGATAATTATG